TGTGCTGGCTTAGGGCCCCCTTTGTGTCCAGTCTCCTTTAGAGAGCTCCAGGAATGAGGTTTTGCCTGTATTTCCAGGGCGGTGCTCCAACCCCCTTTGACCGGAACTATGGGACCAAACTGGGGGTGAAGGCCATGCTGTGGATGTCGGAGAAGCTGCGTGATGTCTATCGCAAAGGTAAATGGGGTGAACTGGCCCGACCTGGCCCTCTGAGGGTCTCTGGGGGCCTGGCCTTGACCACCTATGTCTGTCTCCATAGGGCGGGTGTTTGCCAATGCTCCGGACTCAGCCTGTGTGATCGGCCTGCGGAAGAAGGTGGTGGCCTTCAGTCCAGTCACAGAACTCAAGAAAGATACTGATTTTGAGTAAGTTCTCTTGGGGCTGCATGGAGAAGGGAGGACTCTGGGAGGCCCAAACTGTCCCTACACAGGGCCCCTCATTTAACTTTAAAGAACAGGGTTCTTGTCTAGGTGTCCTAAGGCCAACACAGGGCAGAGTGTGAGGGTTTGTGATGAGCAGGCTGATTAGCCTGTGGCTCTTGTGCCTGACCACATCAGCAGCATTCCCCCACACCCCAGCCAGAGGATGGGGCTCCCAGATGTGCTCCATATACCAGCCAGGTCACAATAACAACTAGGGGTTTAAGGAACTGTGGGATTTGCCTTCTGTAACCACCCAGCTTTGATCTACACAGGCACCGCATGCCACGGGAACAGTGGTGGCTGAATCTGCGGCTGATGTTGAAGATGCTGGCGCACTACCGCATCAGCATGGCGGACTACGTGTCTGGGGAGCTGGAGCATGTCACACGTCGCACCTTGAGCATAGACAAAGGTTTCTGAGGCCACCCACCATCACCATTCTTCCTGCTTTCCCAGACTCTCCCGTCCAGTACCAGCCACAGATCCCAGCACTGAGGGGAACTCACATGGAACTCGGAGCCTATGGCTGGGGAATGCGGGGAGGAGGGTCTAGTGTGCTGCTCTGGGGCTTTACTCCCCAGCTACCTCCAGGACAGAGCACCTGGGGAGCCCTTACCTCCAGCCCTGACTGGGGGGCAGGCCCACATTGCCTCTCCCTCACTGGCCAGCAGGCTGCCTCACCATTTTTTTTAGAAATAAAGTCACCTTAGGACTAGAGCCTGGTTACCTGGGCAGCATGACCTGAGGAGTCCTGGGACAGGGTGGGCAGAACTCATGTGCAAGCCTTACCCACAGCTGTTCTGTAAGATCAGATGGTAGGAAACCCACCTGGGGGGCACTACTGAGCCTGGTGTGGGCCCCACACCTGCCCCTCGAATGGCTGCAATCTCAACCTGTGGGCATTGGACCCTGGGTCTGGAAGGGAGACTTTGTCACTGTCAGTATAGTGGTCCTGGCTGGTTGCTGACCCCCAGGCAATTCTCGGGACTTAAAGGCTGGCTCAGCAGAGAAGCCTGTGAAGGTTAGAGCCCTGTCTATCCCCACCTTGATCCTGTTCCAATCCACTGGTCAGGGGTTCTGTGTGAGCCACTCCTGGGTCCGTTCCCTGCAATGACTAGATATTTACAATAGATGAGGCATTTCCTGTCTGAGGGTATGGAGGTCAAGGGCTGTGGTTTTGGCTTTGTGGACCTGTTGGCCACATGGGGTTGGTGGTTGCCCTGGGTAAGGGTCTCCCTTCCAGCATGGGTCTTTTCGGGTAGCATTAAGAACCCGGGATATTGCCAGGGCTTCCCTTTGGCTGCCTTAGACCCAATCTAAAGGGCAGTGGTTCTGGCTGGATTAATGAGGTCAAGCCAAGGACGAGTACTGATGCATAAATGGCTGCTGCTCCTCAGCCTCTGGTCCCCATGCTGCTCTTTCCCATGTGTATCTTGGGCCCCAGGAGACAGAACTGGGAAGCCATCATCCTATAGAGGGCAGTCTGCAATGCAGCATGGCCATCTTCACTCTGGTGCCTAGTGTACTGGGGACAGCAACAGTGGCTTGACACCCAGAGCTGATCTGTCTTGTCCCTGTGTTCTACTCAGAAGAAAGGGTGTTTCCAAGCATGGTCCCACTGTTTTAGGGATTTCTTGGGTCTTGAGACCCCTGACTAAATCTTAGGGTGATAGGGCATCTTGGGTGGCATCTCCCAAAGCATGGCTGCTGGCAGGCTTATCCACTGCACAAGCCCTCCACAGCAGTGCTTGGTGGCAGGCCACAGTGTTCCCGAGTCACCATTGTGTCACACTGGTCCACATAGGTGGGCTCACAACCTGACATGAGGAGGAATGGCAAAGCACCTTGTTGCTCTTCTCCCAGGATCATAAGTGGGAGATAGGGAAACATTAAGCCATTGCCCCAGCAGCCATCAGAGTCCCCACCATTCCATGGCCTTGTCTGATGACATGAACTGGTGATGTCTGATGGGGCACTTGGGGACAGAACAGAGCAAACCATCCCTGACCTCTTTGAAGACTAAACAGGGTCAGGGTCAATGGAGCATGCTACATCAATGGCTTGGCTGACACAGGCAGGTCCTTTCCAACCATGTTGGCTTGCCCTGCCTAGGAAAGGGCAGCATTGGAAAGGGGTTCATCTTCCCCAAGGCTAAGCTCAATGGCTGCCCATTCTGCATAGCTCCTACTATGTGCAGCTTTGCATTTCAGAGGATTGACCATTCTTCCTAATGACTGTTCTCATTTTGCAGCAGTATTATGGGATGGCCTAAGTACAGAGTAACAGTGGACCTCCCAGGGAATATCTGAGACCAGGCCTGGCCACAGAACTCAGGGGTGCTCTTCACAGACGTCAACAACTATGGAAAACTGCAGCATGTCTGTGATGTCATGTTGCTTTGTTCAGGAGTTCTATGTGAATACAGGGGTTGCTGGCAAGCACTTAGCTGAGATGCCAATGGCCAGCCCCATGGGTCACTGCAAGGCTGCTGTGGGGCCTCCATCTCTCTCCCAGGCAACATTACAGCTGCTTCCACTTGGCAGGAGTCCCAAGAAACCAGTGTCCTCAATCAAGGCTTCTGGGAAAGGGGTCCTGGAGTAATACGTGTCACATTACAGGACCCTGGAGGGTTTGTGTCTTGAGTGGGCTCCAGAGGAACAGAACCAATGGAATGTATACATACTGTAAAAGTGGATTCACCAGGCTGGTTTACACAAACAGATCAAGTAGCCCAATAATGGCCATCTGCATGCAGAGGCTGAGAAGCTGGTAGCTGCTAAATTCATGTCTGCATGTCTCAGCAATCTCAATCTGCTGCTGTGTGCCTGCAGAGTTCCTGGACAGCCTCTGGTCTTCAGTCCACACTGGAACGTGAAAAAGTTGGATTTTGGATTCTGGTGTCAGTAGATGATGGTTGACAGCAAGAATGACTGGCAGGCAGCATTGCCTTTTTCCTCGAACCTCTTTATATCTGGCCGGCCTGCTAGGAGATGCTGCCACCTTGGAGAGGGTCTTCCTCCACTAATTCTCCCTGGAAATGGCCTCTGGACCATCATGAGGCTTCTTGCTGGTTTTTCAGCTCCCCAGTTGATAGGCTGAGGAGTGAGTCCCTGCTGGGTGACAGATACATAGGGGATGCATGAGCTTGCTCTAGTCACCATGAATATCCACAACTGTTTAGTGTGTTCTCCATCCATTCAAGACAGCTCAGGGTCTGGGGGCAACAGCAGGCTGTAGTAGGACACCTGAAGATTAGAGCAGCACCTATCAGACCCCTGCTCAGTCTGGGCCTATGCCACACAGTGGGGCATCAAGGGAAGGGGTTCCAAATACAGGACCTACCTGACTCATTCTGGTCACTGCCAGGTGGGGTCAGGTCATTGTCCCATGCCCTGGTTCTATCAGAATGGGACTTAGCTCTCAGTATGGAACTCCTGCTAGAGTCGGTGTTTATCTCTTCGCAGCATGGCCACTTTTGGGTCCTGGTGACAGCAATAGCTTTACGTGACACCCAGGATACAGAGCAGCCACCTCTTTCCTGAGCCCTCCACCTTTCTAGGAGGTGAGGCCTCCAGCCTCAGCTCCCCCTGCTGTGAGTTGGATGGAGGGTGCCCCACCTCCATGATGCCAATTCCTGTTTTGCTCATGGGGCTACACCTGGAAGATTCAGAGTAAGGGGCTGAAGGTCCCCCTTGCTCAACTCCCAAGTTGGGTTACAAGCTGTGCTTGTTCCTAGTCTGAGCAGAGAAGGCTGGAGGTAGGGATCAAGGACTGAGGTCTTACCACAACTGGTACAGTTTGCCCATCCCTGACATATGCATGAGTGTGCCACAGGAGGAAAGAAAGCCAGGATGTTACAGGGTACCTGCTAGCATTTCCAGATTCTTAACATCCCAGAACAAGGAATTGGACCAGGGGCACAGGTACTGATGGAAACAGTTTATTAAGAGATGAAATACTCCTGAGATTAGAAGTGGACCAGAGCAGAGAAAGGTCAAGGGCCCAGTGGCCCTGAACATTTAGCATTAGACTCTTAACAGGCCACCTACAGAGCCAGCTACTGTGTGCAGCAGGCTTCTTGGGCCATGTCAACCTGTCCAGTGGTGGTGGTGGTGGTGGTTCTAGATTTTTGTTCATGCTTTTACATATGCTAATCTAGATTCCTTTCTTAACTCTATTCTCTCATAGCAGGGGTAGGCCCACCCCAAGGCACCCCTGCTGGGTGGGTAAGTTACAGGCCCTGCCCCAATGGTTCTAACAAAGACAGCTTTATTGATATCTGACACCTCAGAATGCTGAACAACTCTGGGTGGGTGTCCCTAACAGTTACCTAGGTGACATCCCTCTCCTGAAGAAGAAATAAAAAGGACTGTTCTGCCCATCCTTGTCCTGAGAAGAATCCATTCTCCTAGGTGATGGTGTCTAAGGACACCAGGGACATGGTGCCTTGTAAGACATCATTTCAGGCACTCCCTGAGGATAAGCTTGATACAGGGACACCAGAGCTCCCCCTAGCTGCTGAGAAACAGCATCGACCTTGAGGTCAAGGCCCTGTCTGTCACTGAGATGCTGGCTTCCGGCCCAAACAAAGTGCTTTATTGGAGGGTATGGCTTGTACAGTCCTCCCTTGAAGAAGGGCCAGGTAGTGCCTACACACTCAAGGTCTCAGCTGGTAAGTCTGAAGGACCATGCATGTGGGCAGCGTCTCTGCCAAACCTCAGGTACAGGAGAGGGGTCTGCTCAGCTGTCAGCCACTGTTCCTGCACTGGTCTGGTGTTGGGAACCCAGAGGGAGGCTTTCCAGGTGGAGCTGTTTCCACAGAATATAACAGGGTCCAGGTGCTAGGCATGCGAAGTCACTCCATGTCCTGGGGTTCCAGCCTGTGCAGTGTCTGTAGCCGGCTGCCCACAGTCTGCTGGACAGTCTCCAGCCCCTCCATGTCCAGTTCATGCAACAGCAGCAAAATAGCAGTCAGGATGTTCTGGGGACAGAGAGGATGACATAGAACCTGGCTGGTGGCCTTTATAGGGTGAAGAGAGGGGCCTTCCAAAGCAGCAACTTGGGGAGGCTGCGACACAGACACTGGTGCACTGCTTTCCTATCCGGTTCCAGCCAGCCTTGGGTCTGTGCCCTAGCTTCAGATGGAGAAGCTGAGCAGAGAGGTTGAGGGCCTAGGACAGCTCAGTGTGGTACCCTCATACAAAGTGGTGAAAAGGAGTGTATCCAATCAAAGACGAGGACCTCGTGCGAGATTGAGGGCCAGCACCTGTGGCTCATTGGGACGAACAAGCCAGAAGTAAATAACTTCTGACCCCTGACCTCTGCAGTACACTAAGGCCCCTGCAAATGGCTTAATCTACAGATGCCAGCCTCAGGGCAACCAGCTGAAAGGTAGGCCTTTCTCTGGGGTGCCTATTCTAGTTACAGGCCAGAGGATACCTGTAGGTACCAGTAGACAAATGTCTCTGGCGACTCTCTGTGGAGCAACTGGGGACCTGGAGAGGGAAGGAAGCCTGTGGGCACAGACCTGCTATTGGAATTGAGTTTGACACAGGCTCAGCAAGTGGGGAGGGAAGGAATCCTGAGGGGACAGTGACCTCCAGGGGTGGTGCTCCAGCATGCTGGAGTAGGAAGCAGATGAGCCTCATGTACTCCCCCTCTTCCTATAAGTCTAGACCTGGCCCCGTGTTGTCTTCACCCATTGGAGCCTGCCTTCTGCTGTCTGGACGGGGGCAGGGGTCACTCACCCTATTCTTGTGACTCCTCACAGCATCTCTTTGTGAGAAGGAAGAAGATTGGTCTCCAGCAGTCTGGCCCTGGACTCTGCTGGCAAGAAGGCAACATCGAGAGTGTGACTGTCAGAGGGCTGTGGGCACCATCATCTGCCTGTCAAATCCCACTGAGAAGACATCAAGTCACACTGGCAAGCGGTCCCAGCCCAGAGCAGGAGACAGAAGGCAGGCACCCTCTATCTAGGAACTTTATGATGGCACAGGAGCCCGTGTGCAGAATAGGGGCCCAGAGTGACTGGGAGCAACTTCTTTGCACCCAGGGCTCCCCACCTGTAATGCCTCCTACCCAGGGCCTCAGGGAAGCCACCGCCACAGGAGTGACCCTGGCAGGGGTCAGAGCAGAAGAGTGGCCTGTGGTCACCCCTACAGTGTTCATCTTCAGTGCCATCCACAGATGGGAGATAGCAGGCTGCATCCGCCACATGGAACTCAGCTTGACCCCTCTAAAGAAGCCATGGCCTTCCTATGCCATTTCTGACTGAGCGCAGTCACAACAAGCAGCAGAATGACCACATCCAAGGCCACCCGAGGAGCACGGCAGGCCACATGCCACCGCCTCTGCATTACCTTCGTCCCCAGCCCACCAGGCACTGTGTGCACATGTCACCTGAGCTCATTTCCCTCCCAAAGGAGACAGGAAGCCTCCCTCTCATGGCCTGAGGGTGCCCCTGGAACAGTGGGTCTTGCTCCCCAGCAGGCTCACTCTGTTTCCTCTGTGTAGCTCAGCAGGCCCTGGTTGGTCTCAGTTGTAGAACTGACAGAGCTGAGGGTGTAGGAGGGCTCGGGATGGCTACTGCCTGCGTCCTCTCTGCCTGGGGCAGCGGTGATCTCATCTCCCTCCATCAGGGCGCGAGTCAGTTCTTCCTCCGTCACAGCTTGTGGAGAAGGACAGAAAAGGTAAGGGTGTCGGAGGCTTGTGCTGCACAACTCCATTCAGTTCTGGCCTCCTTGGGGCTTCACGACTGCTGCTGTGTGTATGGGGGCTGTCCCTGGGGGCAGTCAGTCCTGCCCCTTCTGATTCCCAGTCCCAGAGTATGTGTGACACTTGGCAGAAGGGCAAGGGGTGCCTTCTTAGTGTTTTCTTAGAGCCAAACCCCAAGTCCAGATAAATCTGTGTGGTGCTGAGGTTGGGCCCAGGTCTTGCACATGACATGCTAGCAGGCTCTCTGTCATTTCTCCAGAAATGACTATATTTCCGGTCCCTAAGACAATTTGAGGAGGAATGGGCTTTACATATTTACTTCACTCACTCTTGTTAAGTGTCTGGGAGAAGACAATCCCATGTAACTGATGAGGACTAGAAACTGGCTGCCGAGAACATAAATGCCTAGTGTCAGCGAGTAGGACTCGTCATAAGCTCGTAGCAGGACTGTGCACCATGCTAGAGGGGCATGCAGATGTAAGCACAGCACAGGTGGGCACGGGTTGTGGGGCAGTGGGGGGTGTCCTCCTTGTGGCCCCAGAGCTTGGCTACCAGTGCAGCTAAGCCTGCCACATGCTGCCCAGTCACCACACTGCAAACCCTCACGGAGGGAGGCAAGAGGAGAGATTCTAGAAGCACACAAGTCCAGTAGGTGGGTTTAACAGATAGGAGCCCTGTGGCTACTAACTGCTGTAATGGCCATCTGGGAGGGGATGCTCACAGGACCTGCTCCTGCTGACACCATGAGATGGGCATAAGCCCATTCCTCAAGCTGGGAGCTGCAGAAGGGAGAACCAGCGGCGCCTGGGAAGTCCCTCAGCAGGGGGCACCTCAGCTGGCAGTGGGCGGACATGCCAGACCTCCCTACCTTGGTTGTCTAGCTTCTGAAGGTGGGGTAGGTTGCGCAGCACAGTCATGCGGTAGAGGTGTGGGCTGGTGCCGCAGCATGGGTTCTCGGCCAGCCACAGCACCCTGAGGTGTGGTAGGTCCTTTAGGTAGAACAGCTCATCCAGGCTAGGGATACGGTTTCTCCTCAGGTACAGCTCACTCAGGCGTCGGCAGCCACGTACAGGTTCCAGGGTGGAGACACAGTTGACACTGTGGGACCAGCACATTGTTAGGGATCTGTACAGTCTGTACCTTCATGGGCCATGGCCCTCTACCCATGTGTCTGCCTCAGCCATTGAGTACCAGCAAAAGGTCTTGGCTTTATAAATGGGTCAAAACCAAGTAAGCTGGGGTTGGGGAAGAGGCAGCGCCAGGAGGGGCCCCTTAACTTGAGATACCACATGGGCAGCTCCTTGGCCTGGAGCTCTGCATTCAGATGGAGTCACTGTGGTCAGGGTCTGGCCAGCTGAGCTAACCCCACCCATGCTCCCTCCTGCAAGGCTGCTCTGGTATGTTAACATGCTGACATGTAGAATGCCCCCATGCCAGTACTGGGCAGGCTGCAGGGGCCATAAGTGTCAACTCTATCTTGGGTTCCAGAATGGTCAGTCTTAGTGTGACCCAACCATGCACCTGTGAGTGCATCCATCCCATAACATCTAAGGAGCAGAGGAGTTCCCAGAAGTGATGGAATCGGGAAGGCGGAGGAGGTAGGGCACTAGGAGGTTCTTGGGGACAGATGAGGCCACGGGGAGGACTGGCCTGGGTGGACTACTGCTCATCATTAGGAGACCTGACTGACCACAGCTACAAGAGCACAGATTATTTCCTGGGGTGAATATGTGAGGGTAAGCAGAGCAGAGCTACTAAGAGACCCAGGTAAGTCGCTGAGAAAGCAGAAATGAGTTGTAGCAGGGCCATTCCCCAATCCTTTTGTCACCGGAAGCTGCCATCTTAGGCTGTTGGGAGTCTTCAGGTTTCTTATTTATTCTGGGCCCCACAGGAAGGACATGTGGCTCCCCTTAGCGTCCATACCCCAGGTCTACAGTGACACAGAAGTCAAGTACCTGAGTGTGATCACTTCCAGGCTGGGCATCTCCCGACATATGGAAATCTAGGGAGGGAAGAATGGGGCTGGTGAGTTGGTGACAGTGTCCCATTGTTGCTTCCCAGGCCAGGGAAGACATCTGTCCTGGGTCCTATCACCTGCAATAACGGGGCCATGGGGTATAGCCTTGCACAACCAGGACACTCAAATCAGCGCACACTGGTCTCTGTGGGCTAGCCTGCCCTCAAAGTGCTCTTCACTGGGGAGGGTATTTCTACCTGACAGTTTCAGACAGTTCTAGAGATAGAACATCATTACATTCAATGTCCTCTAAGGATCTGCCTGGGATGTTAGTTTCCCACGCTTTTCTCTTGCTGCTCCTGAGGCTCCCTGCTAGTAGAACTGGGCCCAGGTCAGACAGAACAGCAGGTAGGTTTTGGCTACAGCACACTGTCAGATCTGCAGATCAGATCTGGGTTGTGGGCTCCATGGACCAGCTCAGTACACCGTCTAGCCTCTGCCTGCCACTGGGGTGGGGATAGGTGAGCCAACTGAGAGGAGGCCATGCACAGAGCCTTGATGATGTCTGAGGAAAATCACCACCAGGGACTCTTCCAAGAGGAGAGCTTTGACTTTGCCCTCTTCTGTGTAGGACCAGCAAGTGACATGGCACTGAACCACAGCACAGTCCTCTTGTGGGGAAGAGGCATCTGGGAGGTGATCAGATCAAGGCAGAACTTACATCGGTGAGCTGGCTGCCCCTGGGGGGAAAAAAAGACAGACACACCTTAATCTTGTTGAATGGAAATATCAAAAATCCCCAGAGAAATGACAACTGCCTATACATCTAAAGATTCTGTGACCTGAATGGCACAGTAAGAAAAGCTGGTTAACCAAATAACAGGAAAGGTATCACAATTGATTAGATTGCTTTCTGACAACAGTACATGCTTAGTGCATGGGGGTACTCTGTCTGCAGGATGCACAATTTCCTCTTCCCAGGCTCCCATAGCACAGTTGTTTCCTCTCACAGATATGAACAAAGGGGTCTTCATAAGAGGCCAAGTTCAAAGCTGATCATGTAACTTATGAAGCAAACTTCACAGGCCTGCAATGAAGCTGTTGTTTCTTCCTGCGCATGTGGGCTCAACAAAGAAAGGCATTATTGAAAACTCAGGGCAGAGGGAACTGTCGTTCAACACTAGATGTGCCAGGGCAGAAAAAGGTTCTTAATTAACAAAGTTCAATCCTTCCAGTAGTGTGCTAACACCACTAGGAGCAAGGAACTGCACTTGCCATACCCCTTTTAGATGCTCTGGCCAGTGTCCCAGAGTCCCCAGGGAAATCTGTAGCTCTTTCACAACCCACTATGCAAACTCCTCCATAAGCCTTGCTTTTTCAGGCTTAGTGTGATCCAATCATGCACCTGTAAGTGCATCTTTCCCATAACATCTAAGTTCCCAACTGTCACTCAGACCAGGCCACCCTTTCCAGCATCTACTGACAAGGAATCATGACTTTACAACCTCAGTTTTCTCTCCCTGTAGACCGCCACTAAGCACCTTTGTTTTCGGATACCAGAGTAGTCACAGAGGGTTAGTGAAACTTCTAGGCGAGACTAGAGGGAAATTCTAGCCGACAGGCGAGGGCCACTTCCCTCCGAGGCACTGGCCAGGGGTTGGCCTGCAACCTGGCTAACTTGGGGGAGTAGGCGCCCTGGGGCTGGGTAGAGGGGATCCTGGCCGGCCTCACCAGCAGTTGAGCTTCCGCACGCTGTGCAGCTCCGAAGCTTTGGCTCGGGACAGGACCATTTTTCGCGTTAGCTTCATGGTGGCCGCAGGGCCACGGCCCAGCCGCCCCCTTGCTGTACACTCGGCTAGTGGGAGAGGCCTTCGCCGCCGCGCGTCTCCAGGGGCGGGGCCCGAGTCTCCAGGGGCGGGGCAAGAGGACCGATTGGCGGCCAGGAGAGAGGGCGGAACTGCGCGGACGCAATGGGACGGCTCGGCTTCCGGAGCAAGAGGCTCCGCCCCGTCCCTTTGCTGGGCGCCGGTCTTGCGCATGCGCAAGACTCGGCTTTGCTGACTGGACCCCGGGGCTGCTAGAACAGGAGATGGGTTGGCGGGCGTGAGAAAGGCATGGGTGTGAGAGACTCGGGGAGCCCGGCAGGTCTCGGGGACATCGGGAAGGACGGAGCTGCCACCGTGAAAGCCAGGCCAAGTGGGGAAGGATGACGGAGTCCTCGTGGGGGATTCCCGTAGAAACCCCTCCAGGGCCGCTTGCTCCGGATCCTCATCCCTGAAGGGATGAGGTCACTCTTGCGCCCAAACCAAGGATTTGAGTTACAGCTAACCTACTACCGGGTGTTGGCTCCTGCTTGTAGTTGCTTCACTTAGAGGCGGAGGCAGGATTGCCTGAACTAAACAATTCCTGGTCAGCCAGGGTTACAGAGTGAGACCTTGCATTAAAAAACAAAGCCAGGCAGAGGCAGGAGGATCTCTTTAAGTTTGAGGTTAGCCTGGTCTACAATTGTGAGTTCCAGGAAAACCAGGGCCAAACAGAGAAACCTCGTCTGGGAACCAAGCCGGGTGTGGGTGGGCGGAGCTGGGGTTGGAGGAACCCCTCCTTTTTCCGGAAACTCAGGTCTCTTCCCATAACTCTAGTTCCACAACCTTCTGTAACTCTAGTTCCAGGAGATCCGACACCCTCCTCTGTCCTCCGCTTACAAGAGACAGCTCGATTGCAATGCACACATACATGCAAACACAACATTCACATGCAGAAAAAAAAAGTTCTTAAAATCAAAACCCAAACAGAAAATAGACTTTATGCTTTTGAAAGTCTCCCAACCCTAGGCCTGTGATCACTCAGTGTGCATCTTAGGTAATCACAAATGAATTTTGTTTTGTTCTGGAGAGCCTGGCGCTGAGTTTATTATTAAATTGAAACTTATATATAATTTCCCGGCCTACAGATTACATCGGGACAGGCATTGGGGACCTCAGACCCTTCAGAGTTGACAGGCTGTTCTTGAAACTTTTCTAGGACTCCCCTGTGACCTTTCTTTCCATCTGGCCATCCTGGCCTGCTTTTTACCAATAACTGGCTTAAGGAAGTGGCTGCACAAAGCCTGGGAACCCAAGTTTGTTCCTGGAACCTACAGTGGAAAGAGAAGATTCCCAAGATTGATTTGTCTCTCCGACTTCCACACGGTGCATCAATCTTTCCCACTAAAAACAATAAGGCCTGCGCTGAAAGATACAGAGACCAACTCAGCCTAGCCAATGTGGTAGGAAGGTTTGTATAGGCTCATTTTAGTGATCTTAAAGAGGTACTCTGGCCTCTCCAACGGAGGCTGTGGCAGAAGGACATGGATGAGAGAAAAGTGGCTGGAGAAGACAGCTGACTTGGAGCAGGAGAGTCTGTCAGGAGGAGGTAGGCATTTCCTACTCCCCTTTTGTCCTGGGAGAGACCTATGCCTGTGGTGGAGTTGTGTCACATTGTTCCAAATGCCTGTGAGCTGAGGCTGATGGGAACATACAGAGTTGCCACCCTGTTCAGCTAGGGTTTGACTACCCTAGTTCTTCCCTCTTTTACCTAGATAGGAGTGGCCAAGGTGTAGGGGATGGTACAGGCAGAGAATGGGTCAGGCTGTGGGCAGGCCCTGGTTTTGCAGCTTTTCCAGTCTTGGTATCAGGTTTTGCCCATTGGTATCCCCACTGAGACTTCCCTGCAAATAGGCTATTCCTGGAGATCTTGATAAGGGAAGGTTTGAGGAAAGAGGCCCTGCTGCAGAGCTGTGGTACCTCAGAGGTCTGACGGAAGCAGCGCAGGACCTTGGTTTCAAGGCCAGGACTAAGGAGGTGCTTACTTAACACGTCAAAGTGGATCTGGCCACCAGGTTCTCCCAATGTCCCTCAGTCACTACCTGTTATAGGGTATGGCTGCCATACCCTGCCCTCTACCCTAAACTTCAGTTCAGGGGCTGGGCTGTCCTTCCCCCAGCTGCTCTTCTCTATATAATCCAGACATGTTTGTTACCTAGTCTGCTCTCCTACCCAGTCTCTCGGCCCAAGTGGTTCCTCTTGGTTGGCTCCTCTCTGAGTCTCCCAGATGTCCCTGCCTCTGATTATGCTCTCCCTTTTACCTACAATAAATTTTTCTCTTCCACCATAGATAGGAGCAGCAGTCGTGTCCTTTGTTTTTTGTTTTGTTTGTTTGTCTTTTTGGTTTTTTGCCTCTTTTTTTTTCTTTGCTGAGGAGTCATGGGCAGCTGACCTAGACCCGTGCCCCTTCAGTTCTCGAACATGGCATTGTCTCCCTGGAGGCACTTGCTTCTCTCAGATTTCTCTGACAACTTTACCAGAGAGGAGGGGGAGGCTTATCACGTAGCCCCTGGTACTTCTGCAGATAGTATCATATTTTAGTGAAGGAAAACTTTGCCCACTCTCAAGCCTGATTCTCTCTCCAAATCTGTCACTCTGCTTGGTTTTTGAAAATAAAGTTTTATTGGCACACCGCCATGCTCATCCACTTACACATCCCCAATGGCTGCATTTCCTAACACAAAGGCAGAGTCAGCACTGGGACAGAGCAGTTACCGTACTCTAGAGACAGAGTGGTACTTGGGCTCAGACCTCCTTTCTCAGTCCTACTTCTCACTCGTGACCTCCATGCAGAGAACCATCAGATCACCCACCACATTTCTATTTCTGTGGTTTTCTTTTTGCTGTCCAAGCAGGGGCTTTTTTGTCTTGGGCATAATGTCCATGCCTTAAAAAATAAAAATAAAAAACTTCTTGTGCTGAATATTTCTTTCGTCAGAATTGAGGCGACTTTCTGGCGAGATCAGCACATGCTGCATCTGAGTTTTATGGATGGTGCCCATTGTTTTTATGGATGGATATTTCATAAATGCCATTGTGATGGCATCTTGGAAGATGTGATATGGCCTTCCTGTAACCTGTGGTTCTTCTCTAAAAGAGAAAGAGCCACTTGGGGCCACGCAGCACAGACACTTCATGGGAGATGCATGGCTCACTGGCCATTTCACCTTAGATGATGTTCCCACAGGGGCCCTGGGCTACTTGGAACCAGAGGCCAGTCTGTTCATCAGCTGGCCATGCTTCAATTACTGTCTTATGAAATATTAACTGCCCATAGTGATTTCAGTTAATGAGATGTCTTAGGGAAGGAGCATAGGTCCATGTGCTGCTGGCATGAGGATATCCACTCCCTTACCTCTTACCCTAGGTCTGGGTGTGGCATCTCGTTCTATAACCTACCACTCTGAGCTATGGTTGCCAGGTGCTGGGAACACAGCAGTGGATAGGGAAGGGATCTGGGTGCCTGGGTAGCATGCAGTCTAGCAGGGCAGTTACAGCATTGATAACCATGTGTACATTTGCCTGACCTGTGACCCACCTTGCCATGGTTCTGGAGGAGAGACAGCCCCTCCAACTGTATTTATTTCTAATAACATGCCATAAAAAGCTGTAAAGGGTTGTCCCTGAAAATAGTGTGTCTTTGCCATGGCTCCATGCAGACTGGGTTACTCTCTGGACAGGGAGGTGGTGAGCAACCTCAATGGTGAGCATCAGCAAGCTGGTTGGTGTGGTGACTCCCCTGCAGTCTTTACAGCAGGCAGGGAAAAAACAATCCACGAAGAGACAAGAATGAAACTCAGCTCAGTCCAGTTTTATTGTAACTAGGCTGGACCGGGACTTCTAGAGTCTGGCCCAGATAATTTTCCTTTAGTCATATTTAAGCACAGGGCAATCTTTGAAAAAAGTATTCAGTTAACAATTTACTCAGTTCCAAGTGCACAACATATTTACACTGAGATGCCTTACAAAGTACATCTGGCTTCTTTCTTGAAGAATGGGGACTGTTGACTCAGAGATAGTGCCCAAGGTTTAGGGTCTAGGAAGTTTGACTGAGGTAAATATAAGGCCTGTGGGTATCTAGATTGGTCTGGCTCTAAGATAACATTGAAATCACTTAGGCTGTTGTAAAGCACAGATGACCCTGCCCACATAGCTTGGTTTTATGGTCTAAAAACAATGTTCAAGATTTAGGGAGGAAGGTCTTGGAAAAGAAAAAACATAAATTCTGGGAGGTAAGGCAGAGGCTGTCTCATCACACAGCAAAGGATCACCAGGTTGTAAAACAACATAATTCCCAGCATTCCAGGAAGAGCAGCTCCGTACCTCATGCCTTTGAAGAGGTGAGCTGTATGTTTAACTTTCCTGGCTTCTCCTGTGCTCATCTGTGTGCACAGGGCTCTTTCCTCTCTACAGCTTGGCTCATCTGGGGGTGGGGAAGCCATAGACCAGTTGCAGAAGGATGCTGCATGAGGATCTGGACAGGGGACTTGTACCCTGGGGAGGAGATGAGGCAGGAAGCTGCTGGCCAGGCATGACTTCCTGGGTAAATCCTCTTCACATTCCTGGCACTGAGGCCCGTGGCTCAGGAGTTCTGCTGGGCATTGCCTACTGGTGTTGGGAATGGAGAAAGCAGAGTGTGATTTGGGGATGAAAGAATGGTTGAGGAAGTCACAGCCAGCTTCTTAAGAGTCAGTGTGGTCCTTGTCATGCTCAGGGTACTGGGGGGTTGGCATCTTTGGGTCCTGGTACTAACCCTGTTTCAGGCTCAATTTGGGATTGATACTTTGGGTTCTTTCTTTCTGGGGGACCCTAAGGTTTACATTGCCCTCAGATCCAGTGTCATTCTCTTTTTCTTTTTACTTTGGGTGCTGCTAGTGTAAGGGTAACTGCAAGGATTTCTAACAGGAGGGTTCTGAGACAAGAGTATATCGGGTGCTTAACTACGCTCAAGTCCAACAGGGGCCCTGACTCTCTATCCCAGGCTGCTTTTGTGGTTCAGGGCTTGGAGACACGGCTGGCTTTATGCTCAAGTCCAACA